ACAGAAGGAGAATGAAAGATATTTTTCAAGAATGATTTAAAAATGTTTTCGCAGAAAGATTGCCAGATTACAATCTTACTAGTAACAAACATGACTTAAAACAATAATGATTATTATCATTATTGTTTTTCTTAACTTTCTTCGTGTTTTCTTGTATTTTCTTATTATGTATATATATATATTGAAATTAAGCGTAAATAAAAAATGACATTTTGAATGTTTCTTAAATATTATTCTTCAGTATTTAAAGAATACACAAATTTAAATTTTAAACCTTAACTTTGCTTACTCTGTAAAGCACATCATACAGTGGAATGCCGAATGCATAGAATGCTGATATGCAATAGAATGCCGAATACATAGAATGCCGATACGAACACGAAATTGTAAATTTCGCTTCAAAATTTACTTAAGCATCAAAATTTTCTTAAACAGATCCAATTTTCAAGTAACTTCATTCTCAAAATTTTTTAAAATTTAAACTTTCACAAATTTAAATTTTAAACCTTGATCTTGCTTACTCTGTAAAGCACACCATTCAGCAGAATGCCGAATGTGTCTCATTAACAACGATACACAATTTGGTATAAAAAATTTATAGATATAAAAGAAGAGTATGTGTACCCTTTTCTAGGAAACACAACTATTGCCCGCGGCTCATCCAAATCGATATCAATCAAAACTTTTCTGCAAGTTCCATCTGATCGAGATACTTCGATGATGTTTCTCCCACTATCAGCCCAGTAGAGATTTTTGGCAACCCAATCCAACGCTAATCCATCAGCTGTCACTAAATCACTAGATATGATTGTCTTCACATTCGAACCATTCCAATTGGCACAACTAAAAAATAAATAAAATAAACTTGACCAGCCCTTTTGATCTTAAAAATACTATTTATTTATCCTTTGGAGCTAAGGGGACTCCGGTGTCTCTTTCATATATTTATTTTTCTGTCGCTCTAATTACAAGCAAGCACATATTTTGGTATTTTTTTAATTATTGAAAACAGACTAATAGTAACTAAAAAAAATTGTAAGATTATGGGAATCAAATTTGTTCTAAAGCGTAAGATCCGAGCAACTAGTTTGACAATTTTTTTTTCATTCATATTCAAAAATGTATCGATAGTTGATTTTGCAAATTGCAGAAATTTCAATAGTGAATAACTGTTTTGTATTAGATTTATATAACTTCAAATAAGTGCGAATTTGATTAATTATTGTTTGGAAGTGATCTGTGTTTGGAAAATTTTACCTTTTACTCAGAAAAAAGAAAGACACCGGTGTTTCACTCTGTATTTCATAAATATAAATTATTAAAATAAATATAATATTTTTCACTTATTTTGACCAAAGCTAATACACAATAATGAAATAAGTATGACAAATGTTTCGGATAAAAATTCTGCTTCAAAGGGTTAAACATCGTGAAAAGGAGAGATCGAAAATCTCTCAGCAAAATTATTTGGTTTTGATTGTGAACGTTACACTAAAAAGGCTATCGGCGACGGTCGTGAAATCATAACACAGTTTAGTTTAGACAATTAATCGGCAGACCACCACACCACAAGTCTCTGTTGCAAAACCACTGTGTATTTTACACTAGCATGGATTCCGAACATTTGAAAAACGCGCAGAGAAAGTTCGTTTCAATCAGACATGCATCCTTTAGCACGGTGAACAAAACATCTGCTCATACTATGGTAGTCAAACACTGAATTCACAGACTATGACACTAGAATGAGTGTTTGAATTCTTATCTGGTGGTTATTTTATAGATCCAATAATGCTTGAGTGAAGAAATTAAAAAATTTCGCATTTCAGTATTCGTATTTTTTCGAGAAATATTTGACTGATTTTGTTCAAAATACGTATTTTGTAATATAAAATTATGCGATAGTGTTTGTTGTTGTTATCATCCCCATGACCAGTAGAGCTAGATCAGGTCCATGAGCTCGTTCACTCTAAGAAAGTCTAGCACCAGCAGGGGAGCTCGAACCAGGTCCTGCCTGGTAAGTCCCAGACAAGATAAAATGTGGTCAGGGGAGTCCTATGCTTTATATAACCGCTACAAGATAAAACAGTAAAAATAAGAATTAATTTTTAAAGAATAATTAATTAAATGAGAATAATTGCTAGGAATTTTTTTACTTGTAATGTTTGGAAAGAAAAATTTTATTGCGAACGCAAATCATTTAAACGTTGCTGTGAAATGGCGAATTACGCGAAAAGAGAGACATTAAGATTAAAGGCCTAGATTTTCGATCATCACTTTCTTGACCGTATGCCATACATTGAGATCATAATTTCCAGGTTGTGCCTATTTTTGTATTTTTTTTGGTGACCAAGTATTCAAGCCGGTCGAAATAAAGTATGTTTATTAGGAAAAAATACGTAAGTTGTGCGTTGGATCCCGTAGGTTAATCTTGCACTAATTAATTAACATGTTTGAGGTTAGATATTTGAGCCACTAATATTGACTCTAAAACGCAATTGAAAATCCAATCACGAAACAAGTTATCGGAGGCGATGTCTTTATTTGCTCACGTTATATGTATTTGATAGCTGTCCAAAGGAAGAATTTCCCATAAGATAACAATACGTATAAGATAAGCACTACGTATTTAAATTGTGACTCTCACGAATTTGTATAGTCAAAGCACCAAATTTAAGGCTAAGTAAATTCATTGAAGAATATTTAAAGCCTGGTTAAAAGAGGCATCTGTTGTACCCATACAGCTTTGTTCGCAATAATGATTATAAAATAGCCTTATATTAACTTATTTATCGGAACGACATACTTTACATTTATGTTAATCGATAATGAGATTTCTTTTCACTCGATAAACGTCGGCTAAAGCTGCTAGTAGAAATTCGTTTCTACTTTTAGAATATGTAAATATAATCCTCTTGAATTTAAAGAGCATTTAAAATAGACAATAAAGCATGCCTTGCTGCTTTCATATTAAAACGTAATAAACCTACGCATTTAGTACAAATAGCTTCGTTTTGAAAATGTCTTTTTCATTTGAATAAAATTTGAATAATGCGTTTCTAAAGATGCTAATGTATTTATCTCGAGATAAATTCAAAACTGAAATAAATGAAAAACTAAGCTGCTATCGCGTTGTAAGCCGTGTTGAAAAATATTTTCCTTCCTTTCATTTATAACATTCACCAACAAAATATGTTTTGTACTTTATTCGCAGCAGAATTATATGATGCCATTTGTTTCCTATTTTATAGAGATTTGAATAAATGAAAGTAGAAAACACAATCATAAATTACAGACTCAAGCTCTAGAAAGCGACTTAAAGCGATGCACATAATTTCAATTTACTTCTCCTGCTAAGTTTCCTTCATAAATATCTGAAGGAACGCCAAAACACCAGTGTTCATCACTCCCCCTGGCGCAGTACTCGCATATTACATCTACTTAACCTACTTTGCCTCCTACTAAAATAAAAAAAAAGAACGCATGTCCAGCTTGTATCGCTCTCTGAAAATGGTTGCATAATAATCTGTAAAGTACTTTCTTCTTTATGGCATTGCTGTTTGTTGTATCTTTCTACCGTCTCCAAGAAGAGACGTTTACAGTGTCTAAAGTTGGCGATAGCCTGTGGGCTGTAGGAGTCCGAAGTCGAAATTACATTTGCCTTTTACTTTTTTTCTTCAGAATCCTGAAATTGCCTGGTACCATCTCAAGATGGGTTGAAAGAAGTAGGGGGAAGCTGAATTATTCAAGAATTCTTGCAAAAATTTCGCTTCTGGGAAAAATCGATGTTTTTTTCCCTTTCCTCATATTTTTCATCGTTATTCGTTTCCCTCGAAATGCTGTGTGCTTATCTATTTCGATTATTTACACATATTTTTCCCCCTTTCTTTCATTTCTGTTTTACCAGAAAAAGTTTCGTACTTCGCGCTGTGTTTGCATATTAGTTTTCTGGTGGGAAAGAACATATCGCTGATTTATTATTTTTGGAATTTTTAATCTAATCTTTCGGATTCTCTTGTAATGGAATAGACTGAAATTGAAAATTTTGATGTAAAGTGAAAAGTTTTACGAATGAGTTTGCTACTTTTGGGACGCAGAAGATAGAAATTTGACTTTAAATTATAAATGACAGTTCTGAATTTCCATTCTAATGAAATCAAATGAACTTTATTCATACAAACGTTCGATTAATTTTAAAGAATATTTTTTTTTCTGAAATTTGAATATTTAGATTGAAAATTTGGTTTTACTTGAATTAAAAAAAATATGATCATAGTGTTCAGAATAATTGAAAAGTTAAATTATTCTGTGGAAAATGCGTTTACAGTAATATATAAAATGTTTTTGAAAATGAGTTCAATATATTTGTCTAGTGTATATAGAATTAATTTTTCATAATTTGTAAATAAAAGTGACTATAATTAATTTTTGAGTATATTTCTGCATCCAGGTCTATCAAAAATATCAGTGTTTAAAAATATTTAACACTTAGTTTAAATTTTTATGACTTTCAACATTTATATGGTATTACAGATCAGCTGAATGCAAGTTTTTCGTTAGGAGTAAAAAAGTAAATAATGAACAAATCGTCATTTATCAACCCTGCGAAATTGTGCTCAAAACTGAAAGTCATATACCGACACAATTAATAAAATTAAAATATTTTTAAAAAAATATTATTTGTTGTTCTCCCCGATTAGTTTTACGTTATTAAGAAAAACATGTTTTTTTTTCTCTCATATCATTACAATAAAGATTACTCGATTCAGTATCATTTAATAGAATATTGCCAAAGGCCAACTCATAGTAAAAATTTACCACAATCAATTTTCTCTGGTACTCCTCTTGTTCCCCTTTCCAGAATATGCATTAAAATTGTGCAGTTTTGGTACAGTTTTAAAAGGTATCAAATATATTAATTAAATAATTTGTATCTATATTACTATATTTCGCAACGATTTAAACTGCACTAATTACAGTAGTTACTATCCCCAAAATAAAGAGCATTGGCGCCAAACATAGTACGGCCAGTTTTTGATTTTCTTCTAAACGAATTACCATTTCTCCATTATCTTTGCTTTTTAGTACATAACTTTTTTGTTTCAATTAGTAGCTACAGCCAAAACTAATTAAGTATCATCGGCTGCTTCAATAGTATTTTTTTAAATCTTTACTGAGCGAATTATTACAATTTTTTCATTAATTTCATTTTCTAGAGCATAACTTTCTTTTAAATTTCAATTACTGTCGATTTTAAATTATTTAGTTTTATTTATTAAAACATATTTTAAAAGCATAACTATCAAAAAATAAACACGTGGTTTTAGATAGATTTAGAAATGCTAATTTGGTAACATAGCCTACCTATACATCCACTTAAGTATATCTGACATAACGAATAAAACTTAACTAAATAAAGATCGTGTAGTAAACTTCTTCGTTGATTAATGAAAGCTATATACTAGCAAGCACGGTTGACGTTATCTTTAAAATATTTGATAAAACAAAATAATTTATAGTTTAATTTAAAACAATGGCTTGTTCTGAAACAATGAGAAAATTCTATTTTTCAAACTTCTTTCCCGAATTATCTAATTATGATTTTTTCTAAAACTTTTTCACTTGAAGTCGCTAGCACAAATGGTTTTGTTATTACAGGAGATACACTCAAGCAGACAAATTCTTAATTTTATTATTAGAGATGAAACGAAAAATGTTTTAGAGACTTCCAGGACACCCCTTCCACCAAAAAACAAAAGAATTCTTAAAAAAATGGTTTATTGTGTTGTTCTAAATACGTTAATTAGAGATATGAAAGTTTTGTTTTCATGAAATTGGAATAAATA